GAGTCTCAGTGCCTGGGTTTTTCAGGTTATGAGCGCCCAAGGCCAGGGAGTCTTGGATGGAGAGACATATGGTCCCGAGTACGACAACGAGGACCCTGCAAGGCGGATGCTGAATGGGCCTGTTCAGAGAGAGCAGAGGCGTTCTGTGAGTTATGGTACTGTTTCAGAAGTGCGGGGTCCAGCGACTGAAGCTTCAGAGACAGGTGTTACGTCAGAGACACACGATGACGTGCACAACATACATGAGCGCGCATCTCATGCACAGCGCACACAAGCATTGACAGCAGCAGCAGCTAAAGCTACCGAGAACCAGCCTCCACCGGGACTACCTGAGGTACCTGCACTTACTCCAGCTACTACTACTGTGACAATACCACAAGATGTTGGAAGTGTTGTTCAGAATGCGGAGCCGATGGACAGAGGGAGACAAGGACCTTTCGATCTCGCCGTAGAAAGAACCAGGGAGGTTACTGTGCAGATGGCAGAGATCTCCCCTCCGGAAGAACTACCCCCCAGTGTAGAAGGAGGTCAAGGGAATCAAGCTGTATGGATGGTGCGGCTTGGCGAGTTCTTTCAGCGGCGTGTGAGTCAGGCTGCAGCTACGGTGGCGCCTATGCTCGAGCGACAACAAAGAGTCCGCACGATCACTTCACCACCGGCGAGCTGGACGACACCCAGATCGAATATGGCGAGGCCTCTCTTCTCGCCGGAAGCAGAAAGGGCCATGCATCAGTGGCCTCAACAGGCACCGCTACTCCATGGAACTGAGACTCAGGTGAGCCAGATGGCGCAGAGGGACACGGAGTCATCGAGTGGCTCCCTCACAAATGAACAAGTCCTTATAGAAGTTCGCCGGCAAGTACATCTGGCGATGCAAGGCCACCAGCAAGAGATCAGGGCGCTGCAGGGCGAGAATCAGCGCCTTAGAGCGGTGGTGGAAACACAGCAAAGGGGAATGGAACAGATGGAAGCCACACTACAGCCTAACCTAAGAGGGGGAATTCCTGCAGAAGCACCTGGAGGCCCTGACCTACGAGCGAGGCAAGGCGGTGATCTTTATGTAGGACCTCCACGGGGCCCTGGTGTACCAGAAGGCAATGTTGCTGAAGTTTGTGAAGCTCCTAATGTCCCACGAGCCCCTCCTGGCCTTGAAGGTGATGGTCAGGAGCTTAATTTAGGTGACCGCGGACCTGATGGAACACGCGGGGATGGTCATGTTCCTGTACAAGAGCGACCTGGGCATCGACAAGGATCACTGGGCCCCCTACCACAACGACATGGTGGAGGGCGAGTACAAGGTGATGTTGATGGAGGGTTAGCAGGGGGAGATGGACCGAATGAAGGAGGCCCTGACCGTGGAGATCGGGGACACAGTGCAGCCGGGACCCAAAGGGCTGCAGGCGACCCTTTCAGCTTGCTGGCTCAGGGGATTGCACAGCTACAGTCTGCGATGAGTGCATCTTTGGCGACAAAGGCGTCAGAGCTCGAGGTGGTGAAGCCCGGAATCTCCGAGCTTCCGAAGCTAGCAGAGCTATCGGAGACATCGTGCATCGATGTGGGCGACTGGCTCCACTCCCTTGAGTGCCCCATGGGTGACATCAGCAATGGGTCGGCGACATGGTGGAAGGAGACCCTGGCGAGCCTCGATAGATTCTACGATGCCTATTTGAAGAGCTCCAACCTGGGCAAGCTCTCCCTTCGACCAGAGTCATATGCGGGGACCTTAATCAAGGAGGACCGTTGGAGCCGTGTGGACAAAAGGGCGACGTCTATGTTGATGGCGAGCCTACCAGAGACGGTCCGCGCGGAAGTGTTGGCATCGAGGCTGACGGGAGCGTTGCAGGTGTTGGGCCGTGTGATGGTACTGTACCGTCCAGGAAGTGCAGCGGAACGACAGCAAGTGTTACGGGCCCTTGAAGCCCCCATGATGGCTACAAGCGCTACAGAGGCCGTAGATGGTTTGCGAAGGTGGGCGAGATGGCTGCGACGAGCTGGAGACATAGGACTACAGCATCCAGATCCCTGCATCCTTCTTCGTGGGGTGGACAACATCGTCAAGAAGGTTCTACCAGAGCAGGGGGAGATCCAGTTTCGGATGAACATGCTGAGGTACACGCTGGATGTGGACGTCAAGCCAACCTTGAAGTCAGTGCAGGATCTACACCAAGCCCTACTCTCTGAGTTCGAGCAGGTGGCCTTCAGGGGTCGAGCGCGACCCAACAACTCCACGAGCGCCTCGATGAAGGGGATCAGTACAATGACGACAGCAACATCCTCGTCCTCCACCACTACCGCGGAAGAGAACCGGGGCCACGATGGATCACCTGGCAAAGGAAAGGGAGCGCCATGCAAGTTTTTCTTGAGTGATCAAGGATGTCGACGGGGGGCTTCCTGCAAATACAGTCATGAGGTGGACAAGAAGCAGCGGCAGGGACGGTGCTGGACATGTGGGAGCAAACAGCATGTTGCCAAGGCGTGCCCTACGAAGGATAAGGACGGCAAGAACAACAATCCTGGAAGTCCTACGAGATCAACTGGAAACAGGAGTGATGGAATTGCTGGTACTCCTTCTGTGGCAGCAATGGCACCTGAGGTTGCACACCCAGCGCCCCCCGCCAGAGCTATGTCACCGACATCAACGACAATGTCATCCTCGTCCGCTACTACCACTACACAGGACCAGGTAGCTCAGCCAGGACAGGCTGGATCCGGTGACACAGACCTACGGGAACTGCTTCGGGAAGCTAACAGCATGCTGAAGGAAATGAGGCAGCTGAAAATGATGACGGTGAATGATGTGGAGGCAAAGGCCAAGGCTTTGGGGATAGAGCCAAGTACCGGAAGGACAGGGCTTTTGGACTCGGGCGCCTCGCACGCCTTTCGCCAAGGAACCGAAGAAGAAGTGGTTGCAGCGGACAAGGTACGAGTGCAGTTGGCCAATGGAGACCATGTCACTTTGGCTCAGAATAGGGCTGGGACCCTGCTCGCTACGTCAGCGTCCCCAGAGGACGCCGCAGCTCCTATAGTGCCTTTGGGATCCCTGGTGCAGGACCTCAACTGTGAGCTCAAGTGGGGAAGGAAGCGGGGGTTGGAAATCACCCACCCCGTTCATGGAACGATTCGTCCGAAGGTCGTTGGCCGGTGCCCTTTGATCGGCGAGACGCAAGCACTACAGCTGATAAAGGAGCTAGAGGACAAGCGTGTGGAAGACTTGCAAAGGTCATCTTCGGCAATGCAGAGAGCTCTGTGGTTGTGGGACCAGAATGCAACATGGTCCAGACACCTTCACATGTTTTTGCGACAAGGCGGCCGAGCTCAACAGCTGCTAGCTATTGACGCAGAAGACTCCCCGTTTGCAGCGTTGAGTCCGATGACAAAGGGCGCGATGGCGGAGGACATCATACTGGACAACAAGGCTGGTTGGAAGTACCTACAAGCAATTCCAGTTTCGAGAAGAAGACGCAAGCTGCTCATGGCGAGTGAGTGGATGATCAACATGTATGCCGGGCCTTCGGACGGGACCGCAGAGATGAAGGTCTTGGAGGATGGCTGCGTCATGGTTGAGGTTGATATCTTGAGGTCAAAGGCCTTTGACATGAAGCGCGCGGCTGGAACCTACAGGGCACTCATGTGGGCGGCAGCTACGGGACGGGTGAAGGGAGTACTGGCGTCGCCACCAATGAGGTCTGAGACGGACGAGGTGTTGGTGGCAAAGGCGATGTGGTGCTCGCTGGTCGCCAAGGCGGCTCGAGGCGTCTTTGAGGAGTCACCGGCTTTCGTAATGTTCGAGGGCGCAAGGCTTATGAACCACGTCAAGGGAGCAGGCAGTTTTCCTCAGCCTACGGGACTACAACATGCCTGGAAGGCTTACATGGAGACAATGTGTCTGGAAGAGCAGTACGGTACAGTTGCGACAAACCTGGACTATGACAAGGAGGAGATGGTCACATCGACGAGTTCCGGAAAATGGACAGATGAGTTCAAAACCAGCACTGTGCAGGCCGTGGTCAAGTGGATGTGGAACCCAGAAACGAAGCAGAAGGCCAAGTGGATGGCCAAGATGGATGCGGGTTCCTTCTTGAACTCACTCACCAACAAAGAGCTGCAGCAGTGGAGAGTTCACGTCAGGAACAATCACATGCCATACAATCGAAAGTGTAGAACATGTGTGGAGTCGAGTGGGACAGGCCGACGTCATGTGAAAGTCAAGACCCCGACCGCTTACTGTATGAGCCTTGACATTTGCGGTCCTTTCAGGGTTAAAGGAAAAGACCCAGACCATGCTGACTACAGGTTTGCTTTGGTCGCTGCATACGTGGTTCCTAGAATTCACGTTCCAGATGAAGGGGGTCCACACAACCGAGATGTTCCAGATGAAGGGGGTCTTCGAGATGATGCTATAGCACCCGTTGGTCAGCCAGAACATCCAGTTGGTGTGGTTCGTATAGATGGAGGTGACTTTGAACCAGAAGTTGATGAAGACGATGGTGTGGGTCTGGGTCCTTTACAAGGCTGGGCGGAAGGCGAGTTGATGCAGGACAGTCCAGAAGAAGCAGGAGGTGATGGTCCACGATTACCAACGGGTATGACTGATGAGGAGTTCCGGAAGGTGTTCTTTGAGGTCGAGGGCGTGGA